AAATGCAAATCCCATGATTCACAGGAGGTAGCCATAGCAGTTAAAGTGGAATAATAGTGCTATGGCAGTGTACCATGACTTTATCCAGTCTCTTTCTCTCACTACAAGTTATATATACACGTGTGTGTGTGTATTTTTTTTAAAAAAAACATGTTCCTTAAACATTTCTGACATAATCATGTTCACATCAATATTTACTTTTGACATGTGGTATATGTGTGTGCAATATTCATACAAAATAATACACATATTAAAATCCAATAATTCTGCTGAGCATGACACATTATTGCTGTAATAAATCCCAATGCCTACTGGATTTTTGCTCTATACAGTTTGGTTTATTATTTATATATGTAATGGTTTATTTATTTATTACAATTTGGACTGAACAATAAACAAAGCTCATGGAGGAGTGATGTACAGATAATAGCTGTGCATTGGGTGAGATCTGAGCTGCAAAACAGCTAGAGAGGAAAGCATTTGCCCTTTCTCCTCTGGTGGCCCATTTCCAGATCATGACTCCAAATTCTTACTTTAGCAGTAAAGAAAGGGAGCTGCATGTGATGTAATGATCATTTATACAATAATGTGATTTTTAGTGAACAGACGGGATTTTTCAGAATCTTTTCACATACTAGAGTAACTATATAAACCTAGTTTGCCGAGTGATATTTTCAAATGGACCCTTTCAGAGAGCGGGAACGAGTGAGAGAGAACAGTGCTTAGTCCCTCATGCTTACATAATGGCTTGAATTCTAACCAAGTATTGGAAGCCCAGTTGTTCTAACCAATTATTGAAAACCAAGCTGTGATTCCATCACTGTTCTCATGATATAGTTAACAAATGCAATTGAGCTTTGAGAATAAGAGGTTGGATGCAACTTCTTTGTTGTTGGCCAAAGCATGCTGAGCAGAGTTTGTCTCAGGATGCTCCTGCTGATGGAAATGGTGGGAAGTAAATCTGCTGATTTTTTCGTCCTCTCTCTGCTGCTCACAGCACTTCCTTCTCCACCATTTTAGAGTGACCTCTGTTACCTACAGAGCATATTGGGAGTTCCAATAGTCTCCTGTTGGTAGAATGGAGAAATTTGACTTTGACCCAGAGCTCTTCCTACCTCCTGCTCCACTATTCCAGATGCTCTGGAGGGATCAGATGAAGGAGGGACACAGGAACCTCAGGGAGAGAAGGAATCAACAATGTTTGTCACCAGTTGTATTCCGCCAGCAGAAGCTGACATTGGATGGAAAGAGCTCTTCCACCTGCAAAAAGAGACAGATTCTGTTTCCAACCCATTGTTGCTAACTAAAAACAGTCAGAGTTTTTAAATACTGATTGACTGCCACTTAGGCCTACCTTAATGTTATTGGCATGTATTCATTGATCACTGTGCGTGGCAGAAAGTTGGTTTTGACATTTGTTTTTTTTTAAAAAATGGTTCCTTTTCCCTTGCCTCTTCCCACTCTTTCTCCAACACACACACACACTGATATAATGTGAATGTGATATAAAATCTTGATATGAAATAGAATGTGATATAAAATATTGGTGGTCTCTTCCTCCTCCTCCTCTTCTTCTGGCATGTCTCAACTGATTGAAAAAGTCCCAGATTTTGTTCCTGTTCCTTCCAATTTTATATTCAGTTAAAGTTATAGCCCTTTGATAGCACTTTAGTATCATTGCTACATTCTATGGAATCTTGGGGTTTGTAGTCTGGACAGGCAGAGAATTTTAAATACTTTACAAAACTACAAATCCCAGGCTTCCAGAGGGTCTCCGGAATCAAAGTGGAATCAAAATGTAATAATTATGTAGTGTAAAAGAGACAATACTGAGCCAGATGGACAATTGGATGTTATCACACGCGGGTCTCAAAGCGGCAAGAAAGCGGTATGGAATCAATCCAGAACTATACCGGTATAGACCCCACAAGACAGAAATGGTTATCAGACGCAACTAGCATCATTGCGCAATGAACGAAAGCAGCATCATTCCGGTATCATTCTGGTCGCACAAATGTAATTCCCTAAGAAACCGGCATTCAAAAGAACGGGGATGATGCCGCATTGGGACGGGGATGGGACGGGGTTCTCTGCGACATCGTGTGAACACACGGGAAAAGGAACCGCAATGGGACAGGGATGGGACGGGGTTCTGTGCGACGTCATGTGAACACATGGGAAAAAAAAACCACAATGGGACGGGGATGGGACGGGGTTCTGTCTGCTTTAGACCCCATGTGATAACATCTGGAGGCCTTTGCTGACTGCTAGAAATAGTGCATATTGAGTCCACTTTAAGGGTTAGGGTTAGGGTTAGGGTTAGGGTTAGGGAATTATGGGAACTGTATTTTATTGTGGCACCAGAGCTCTCTGACAGAGAAGGCTCAATGTCTCAGAAAAAAACAACCAATTCCCATGATTCCCTAGCACTAACCCTAACCCTTAAAGTGGACTCAATTTGCACTATTTCTGGCAGTCTGCAAAGGTCCAAACTTAACATAACTCAACCTCCTATGCTCATATGTTGAAGTGAGATCTTCTCAGACAAAAGCCAGTGTTCAAGCCATTTACTTGCTGCTGTGTTATCCACAATACCTTGCTACCTTTGTTGTTGGGCACCTTTCCTTGTTAAGTTCTGATTGCCCTGTAGATTTTGTGAAAATGATCACTGGGGATACCATAACAGGAAGCACAAGACTGGATCTTCTCTAACTCCTTTTGATTCAAACACTGTTTTGGCCAACCTTTCTCTCACTTGACTAGACTGAGAGCCAATAAAGGCCATTCTGCCTGAGGTATTTTTAATAACAATAAACATAGCATGATTATACCATGCTTAAAGCAAAGTAGCTCCTACCCACCATATACATGGTATTTATAAACTTTCCCAGCAAAGTGTTCAACCATATTATGTGCATTTTATCAGAGATCCTTAAAATTCTGTATTCTTTACTCCATACTACACCAGCCAAGCCAGTAATTTCAATGTCAAGCTGGTGCATGTTGAAAGCTGTGCACCTGTGGTTGAATTACATGAGAAATGGACAAGTCTTTGTCAAAAATTGGCAGGTGATGTAAGTTGCTAGGAGGACATCAGAAGTACAGAGATTTCATTGTTTGCTCAAGAATATTAGTGAGTTGGGTCCAGATCTACCTGCCGTGACTAGAAGCACTCTGTTCACAAATTTTATCTTCTTCAAACCAAGGTGGTGGGTAATCTGTCTTCCACCCTATAACTCAAATCATTAACACCACCATCACAACTACTCTGCAGCATTTAAGGGGTCTGGGGGAGCCATTGTAAGGATGAAGTGAAGAAGAATCTGCTTCCACCAGTCCAGTAGCACACATACCTAAATCTAATTTTTTAAAAATTACATTTATTAAAAACAACAACAACAACAACACAACTGCCTCTGACCTTCCTTCTGAAATTAGCACTGCTGTGAAGTTCAATGGAATTTGTTCCCAAGAAAGCATGCATGGGATTGCAGCCTTAAAAATGTTTAAACTCTACTGTCTGCCTTGACAGCCAATGCTCTAGTTGAGATGGATCACAGGATGTCATGGCTGGTGACAACTGGGAGCCGTACTTAGAGGCTCTCTTGCCTTTTTAGGTTATGAGGGTCTCTGTGTGTGTTTAGGATAATGTGATTGACGGCTCCACTCCGGCCCCAATTAGCACCCTATAATTTATTAGCTTCTGCTTTCAGATTATGCGTTAACTTCACAAATATTTCAGCTACGGAAACAGCAGCTATCAAATATCTCTCCTGCCTGATCTAACACATAGGGACTGTAGTTAAATACAGAGAGAGCTGTGCAGGTCTGTCAAGGAAGAATAATCATTTGCATCACACTGTGTGGTGGAGTATATAGCAACATCAGAGCTCTTCACTTTTAAAGGAAGATCAAATTAAAGTTCAGATCATATTCTGGGGGCTACATGTCAGGGGAGATATTGAATCTGTTGACTTGTCTAGAGGGGAGTTGTGTTTATCTTAACTCCTGCTACTTGCAGAAATACCAGTGGTAAAGTTACACACAAACGACAACTGTGAGGATGCTGAAGTCACCACTAGACAAATTCTGTGGATCCTTAACTTCTAAAATGGAGAGTAAACACAAAAATATGCTACGTGTGAAAAAGGACAAATATGTGAAGAAGGGAACGGTGATTCCAGTGCAGTCCTATACATGCCATTCAACAAGTTCCACTGAGTTCAGTCAAGCTGAATTCCTGGTGAAGTAAGCATGGGACTGCAAGTTTTGTGTATGAAAAAAGAATACTCAAAACCATGTATGGAGATGCAGCTCTCTGGATGCTTAAGTTGCTTTCATCTGATGGGTTTTAAAGAAAGGATAAAAGGCTTATGCATACATGTACAGCAGTCCATATTTCTCTCAGCACTCACTGGACTGCAGCTGAAATGTGTGGAGAGCCTCCATCAGGACTAGTATGTTTGATGCAATAGATTTAACCTGTGATAGCCATTTCACTCATGCAAGTTGGCACTTGATACAGACTGTCATCAAATGATAAGTGTGTATATATGAACTGACACTGAGCTAGGGCTGGTCCATCATATGCCTATAGATGGCTTTCACCTACAACTCTCATCAGCTTTAGCCAGCTTAGTATAATGCATAGTGAGGCATTCTGGGAGTTGCGGTCAACAAACATCTGGAAAATCACAGAATGATAACCTCTGCCATGGGCACTTGTATTCATGAGGGCTTCACGAAAACAGGTACACTTTGGAGGAGAAACTGGCACTTAAGACACTTTGAATGGGATAGACTTCTCTGCTAAACTTGGTAGCTGGAAACCATTAAGCATTTACAACTGGGGTGGGAGAACACTGTTCCCCCAGATGTTTTGCTGATGTTGTGTGCCTTCAAGTCATTAATGACTTATGGTGACCCTTTGGTGAACACATCACATGGTTTTCTGGGGCTGGGAGTGTGTGACTTGCCCAAAGTCACCCATTGAGTTTCCATGTCTGAGCAGGGAATCGAACTCTGATCTCTAGAGTTGTAGTCCAATGCTCAAACACTATGCCACACTGGCACAATCTTTTGACTCAGACCTCTGGAAATGCAAAACATCTGTAGATTCCCCCATTTTATCGATAGGAACCCTGCCCAGATCATGTGACATGCCCATCAAGACCCACCATATTTTTATTAATTTTCAAGTCCCTCAAATATATGAACACTCTAAATAAGTAGTGAATGTACCTGGTGTCACTGCTAATGTCCTCCTCATTGATTAAGCTTCTGGTTTTGTTCTCTGCTTGGGTCAAAAACAAGGGTATCAAGGACACATGTAGCCTACCTGTTGGTGAATTGCCTTCAGCTTAGTGGGTCATAAGATGGTGGCCTCAGTAGCTCCCATGGTAGTTTGAACTTTAAAGGAGTTGTCTAAGGCGCTGGAACTATTTTGGGATAGGCTTCAGTTCCTTAGATAATGTTTTTAAAGTCTAAACTAAAATCCAGAGCCAATTCACCACCGCACTGGCATAGATGCCATCAATCTCTACTGTCAGGAGCAAAACTTTGACAATTTTTTTT